TCTTTTTATAATATAAACATTCATTTTACTTGCTTTGCACGTGACACTGTCGTTTCGTCTGTTACTTATTTAAAATTTTCACATTGTTGTTCCATGTCTTAAAATTAGAAATTAAAGTTAGTTACCTAAAACTGCAATAGTATATATTATAGTGCAAGTGCAAAAATTGACAGTTTCACTCACTCGTGTGTCGTATTTGCGCAATACTTATGGGATCCCACAAAACTTTTGTAAATATTATGGGTTTCTGCGGTTTGCGAAAATATTTCAGTGATAAAAAGGGGTCGCGACTGAAAAAAGTTTAGAAATCTTGGTCTACCATATACAATTTTGTAGTGGGGATGTTAGGAATGATACCTACTACCAGTGGGACATCAACTACGTAGTAAAATGATTCGTGTAATTCCCTCTAGGCTTCTTTAAACGTCTACTGGGACTTATGTAACCCATTGGGATATATGTTATGTTATGTTATGTAGAAGAGAGGGGGCCACCTATTACTTACCCTAAGCAAGCAGGTATTAGCCCCACACACTAACTAGAAAACTAACAACATTCTGGCATCATTCCTCGAGTCGTGATAGAAATTGTGACTCCAGTGAGCACTACAAGTACTGCCACCGGCGGCGGCATCAACGGTACTCCTAACCTTTCAGCGTTAAATTAGCTCAAGTAAGGGATTAAATTACATGATATACATTGCGATATACATAGTTGTGCAGGTGCATATTTCAAGATGTTATCTATTGTAGTGGGTACAGGCAACATGTTTCAGGACATTATTTATTGCATTAGAAACAGGCATGATGTTTCCACATTACAAATCATTTTTGTAACCATTGGGATATATGGGGTATATAACCCAAAGGGTTAAAACATTATTTTTTGGTGTAAAAAATCGATCTGCCCGGTTGCTGGTTTGAGATCGTAGGTTCGGCCCACATGTATTTTGAGATTATTGGCCCAGTTGATTAAAGCAAAGCAACTCGAGGACTATCTGTCTATTTTTAAGAAAGAAAGACTGGATTGTGAAGAATAACAGCAAAAAGACTTCATCCTCCTAAAATCTGAGGCTCGAGGCTTGTGAGCCTGGCGGAGATGCTTTTGTTCTTGCGTTTTGAACTACAGATTACTGCAAGTGAGTTACTTCCCTCGAAAATTATTCTCAAGTTCTAAAGAACAGAACCACTTAACGATATCCGGTCACTCCGTTTCACAGAAGTACCTTATGATGACATAAGAACAAAAATGCACTTCCGGTTTTAAGCATAATATTATTAATTCTTATTTAAGTCATGAAGTATAATTTTTAAAATTCTGAACCATAACTTAACTGAAAATATTCACAGTTTTAAGACGTATTTCTTATATTTCAAATAAAGCATCGGTCATTTTTTTAAAGAACAGAAATATTCTTTTTTTTACGAAAAAAAGTTATCTTCTCATACGCAGAGAGAAGCCCTTGCTAAACTTCCTGCCCCAAAAGAGGAGGCTCCGATATATACAGCAGGAAGCTATATGTTGTATTTCCTGTTTTGCAATCTAACACTTTTAACTTGATGCTCTGAAGCATTTTACTACATTCGATTTATTCGCATATTGTTTTGCATACTGACATGGAGTTTTCTGGTGTCGTTTGGAATTCGTTGATTGCCATCTTTTATTGGATAATATTTCTTAACGGAACATCTGGTAAATGCTTCCAAATATCTCTTCTTACCATTATTTTTGCTCATTCTAACTTTAGCTTTTTTCGTTTGTAATTATTATAAAAAATCTGTGTGATATTTGCAATTTGTATTTGTTATTAATTCTTGAAATCAAATAGAAGAGGAAAAAGCAGATGCAAAATTTTTGTTCCTGAACAACAGCGATTTGTATCCGATCGTCTGCGAAACCGTTAGTTTTATTCAAATTCTACGTTTAATCTTAATTCTTAAAATGTCAAGAACTTTTCTCCGGAAAATTACATTGTCGTTTAACGTATTTTATGAAATATTACAATTTTATATAATTCTACTTTTATATATTTTTTATATATTATATATATATAATTGATATATATATGTTGTATGATCTTAAATTCACTTAGTTCGAAAACAAGTTATTCTAATACTTGCGCAATAGCTGCAAAGTAAGATAATAATAATTTATTTACTAAAGAAAATAGTTGATTATATTACATATCTCCTAATGTAATTGATATATCTATAATTTACTTTTACGTAATTTTATATTTTGTCTTTTCTATATTTTTATTAAAATGTTTGTTAAGGTAATGTTTTACATGTTATATATTTTACATATTTTTTATATTTTGTTTTATAATGTATTTTTTTTTTTGTATTATGCGAATATTATTTACGCTATGTTTATACGTAAAAATTTATAATATAATAATAATTAATTTTTTCGTAATAAAAATTTAATAGTATTTTAATAATAAATAAAGGATAACTTAATATTTTACATATTTTTATATTTTATATTTTGTTTTCATATTGTATTTTTGTATTTTAAGAACTTTATTTATATTATTTCACTGTTCATACTCATGGATAATTTTTTATAAGAAAGTTTTAATAATAATAAAAAAATGACTTAATATGTTATATACTTTACATATTTTTATATTGTAATTTTGGTATTTTTAGAATTTTATTTCTCTTATTTTACTGTTCATACGCTTAGGATAATTTTCATGCAACCATAATGATTCTTTATTGCAAGAAATCAAAGTAAACATGTTTAAATCCACAAACTTATATTTTCTACTTCTTTGCATTCTTTTTTTGCTAGTTTGTTTGTTTTAATTATTTATAAATATTGGTTAACTTAGGAATCGTTTTGTTGTTTTAAAGTTCGGAATTAACTTTTACCTAAAATTACCTTCTGTCTAAATACATATCGTCAAAAAATTTAAGCAATGCTTTAAAATATTATTTATAATGGAATTAACTTTTACCTAAAATTACCTTCTGTCTAAATACATATCGTCAAAAAATTTAAGCAATGCTTTAAAATATTAAATTATTGGGAGCCAATAGCAATTAAACAAAAATGCCTAACTCTTTGACTACGAATTAAAAAAAATACCTCGTTTTCTATCCAAGTGAACAAAATATGTCATAAATAAGGTAAATTTAACATTTGGGATTTTTTTGACATGTGATTTTCAAGCCCACATATTATTCTGGAAAACTTTGTTATATGAAATAGATCTTACATCGTTAGGTCTAAGGTAATAACTTTGCATAACTCAACACTAAAACATTGGGCAACTCAAATTTGTTCTCTTCTCTGTGTTCATTTGTGTACAACGAGCACAGCGTCCTGTTAGTAGTCAAAGGGTTAACTAGCAGTTTAGTCAATATTAAAAAAAATATGGTTTTGAGCTCACCCAAAGGCATAATTTAAAGTTATATTCTTATATAATATCTTATATTCTTATATACTATCTTATATTCTTATACACTACATACTTATATACTATACTATAGTCAGTGTTCAGTAAAGCACTATTTGGCATTTTTTATATCTTAGAGCTTTTAATTTCGAATTTTAAGTCGTATCTTTAGTAAAGTTTTCTTAATATATCCAAAAAATAAGTCTATCATCATTCTGGCTAGATAAATCTAGTTATGATTGGGTTTTGCAATATTCTCTATGCTGCGTCTTATAAGTTGTTTTGTAGCTAAAACAATGATATAATATGTTAACTGAAATATATGTATTTCTAGAATCTAATACTGAAGCTTTATGCATATTCTGTTGTTTATATTATTTGGATGTAAATAATCGAATTTTATAATTATTAAAGTATGGACAGTGTCACAAAAGTGTATGCATAAGATCATTAAAATAGGTAGGTACATTTTGTTTCCGAAAGCAATTTAAAATGTTTTAAAAACTATTACTTGTAAAATGCAGTTTTCTTTGAATGGGTTTTAGATTAATCTATAAGATATATTTCAGAGAATCTCAAACTGAGCTTGTGAGGTTTATCTATTTATTTTTAACTGATAGTGTATTTTAAGTCAGCTTTTCCCTATTAATCTCTTTTCATGCCAGAATATAAATGAGTTAGCCAGAGTTTATTCAGATTAAGGTAGAAAGATGTGCTATTTAAGCAAGAGTTTCGGAAGCTATTGTTAGAGCGTGTCTGCCTATTCTAATCCACGTTGTGCCATGATTATTAGCGACTTGATTTAGTGCCGTTAAGTGCTTCTAGACATGCAGCATTGTCTCGCCGGTTTTCTACAAACCAGAGCCTTGCCTGCGCGTTAAATGATCCGTTAGGCTAATCTACCATATTTTTGAATTTGTTCAACATATGTATTTCTGTTAAGCTAGAAGTGCTCGGCTTTGAACCCAAGTGGGGTAATTGTTAAGTTTGTGTTCGAATAAAAAGGGTCTTATACAGAGGCTGTTCACACATTTTTTAGACGATGTATATTGTATTCACAAAACTAAATTACACAAAATTCTTGTGTTTTAAATGTTCTATTTCACATCCCTTATTCTGAACTATCTTTCGACACCGCAATTTCCACGATAATAATGCCTTTTGAAGTGGCAGAAGAGATATTTTATCCCATTCCTCCCGAACAGCTTTTCAGAGTCCTGTTAGGGTTTTGGAACAACGTTTGGATAATGCAGTTTTTAAAAGTCCGAAAGCACAAAAATCCATAGGTGACACATCGGGAGATTTAGTAGGGATATCAGTGAAGGGTATGGCCTTGATACCAGTTTTTTGTTCCATTTCTTTTAGGAAATTTACAGTGGATTTTGATGTATGACTGCTAGCTTTGTCCTGATGGAGTCTCACAGATGGATGGCACTGTGGGTAAAGCGATGGTATTTCATTCAGAAACATGTTCCTGAGAGTATTTGGAGTTAATCTTGACATTTTTGTTTGCACTCTCTTTATTTTTAACTTGCCATTATAAGAAAAACCAGCAACAATATGAATTCCTTAGATAAACTTTCTTTTCGATTCTTTGAAACCATGTACTTCAATTTTTCTCTTCTTTTATTAATAAATGGCTCTTTTTGTTACAATCATTTAAATACACTCATTCTTCATCTATTGTGACAATTGTTTTCTTTTTTCTTGGATAGTGTTTCTCAATATAGAATTCTGCAGCGTGTCCTGCGTTGAGCGATATGCTTTGGAAGAAGACGATGCACATTGCGTTTTTTTTTCGCTTTCTTAAGATTTAATTCAATGTTTATCATTTTGTTTACAGTGGACACCGAGCATTTTTAATGCTTTTGCAACTGTCCTTTGACTACGGGGATTTTCTTTTAACATGAAACAACGCACCTTTGCAATAGTCGAAGATGTCCGTTTTTTCCTTGGATACTTGTTTGGAATTTTTGTCCCACTTGAGGCTCCAATTTGACGTTTTTTTCCTTTCTTGTTGATGATATGACCTATCGATGCTTTAGATATCACAAAACCATGACTCTCAACATCGTTTATGGATAAGGCAGTATCCATATTTCTCTTCGGAAAGACCGTGAATGTAGCCTTCGAACCACTGCTTTGATAAATTCGCCGTTTTGAATAAAAACAAAACTTTCAAGCCACAGACGATAATTTTGACTTTTAAAAACATAGTACAATTGCAATTACTTCTTTTGCAGCAAACGAGTTTTTATTACCTCTTACCAAAATCGTCTAAGAAATGTGCGAACAGCCTCTGTACACCCTTCGTCTGGCTTTTGTTTAGTTTCGCAATTCTTTAATAATCGTTTGAAAGTTTGTGGTGCATGCTCTCTAACAGAAATCGATTTTATAAATATAAAGCTCAATTTAAATGAAAAAGGCTTAGAAGTAAAAGTCATCAAGAGTATACTTTACGACAAATGAAATTTAAGCTAAGCTAGTGACATTTAATTTCAACTGTAAAAAATCTGGAATTAAATTTCACTTGTATTATGTCAGCTATCTCTTAATAGTATCAGCTACGTTTCTAAGCTATCTCTATAATCAAATAGATTATGATCTAAGACATAAAACCGGTTTACGAACAAAATCTTCTTCTTCGTGCTCTTTGCGTTAGCATCTTTTTTCTGATGCAAATACAGGATGGCTAAAAAAATTCATCAGGTTTTAAGTCATCGTAATTCTGGGGTTTACGTATACAGGTGGTGTGGTGTGGTGTATTTAATTACGGCAAAGCACACTAGGGCTATCTGCCTAAGGGGAGGGATGCCTTCGTGGAGGACTTTCTAAGGGAAATGGCTCGTATACACGTTGCACATGGGGAAAACCACGAAAACACCCATGCAGCCAGCCCGTTCGCGGGATTCGAACCTCAGACCGAACTACCAGTGTTCAGCGACTTTACCGCTCGGCCGCTGGTGGGCTTACATATACAGAGTGGATAAAATTTGTTAACGTAGAAGAATTTACATGAAAGTTTATAATATTAGAACTAGGCTTACATAATACGTTGCCTTCTATGCATTTATGTAAAAATTTTTATAGTTGTTAATAAATATGTTTTTAATAAATATATTTACCTAAACGCATAATTTCTTCTTTGAGCGGGAAAGGCATGTCGTAAAATCAATCAGATGCTTAATTATTTTATCAAATAAAAACAAATAGCTTCTTTCTTGAATGTTTTCTAATATTTTATTCGTTTGTTGTTCGTTTTGAAAATATCATGTGACATTTTTTA